TGAGAAAACAGCAGTCCAGAAAATCTAGCTTGCAAATTTAAAATATGGTTTGACAAAAGGCATATTACTTATTTCATGATATCAAACAACTTTCTCTTGAGTTAAGGCAGATAACTTTTAAGCTATGCCACTAAAGAATAGGGACACCAGACAGAATATAGTCAGCTTCTCATAGCCATCCATATATGAATGTTTGCAACAGAACCCTGAACATGACTCTGCAGCAGATACAGATGTCCCTGGATAGTATCTGGCTGCCACAAATTCGAAGTAAAGGCTGATTATTTGTGTCCTCGCCTATAAAGATATATGTAGCGTGATATTCTTCAGCGGCAGGCTTCCTACTGTGATGTGCATTCTACTTTTCCACTGATTTTTCCTTTTTTGTATGGGCAAACCTAACCGTAGTCGATTTCGTCGAGCGGCGCATCCGCGGGTATGTTGGTGTTGACCCTGGCATGCCACCGAGATTTGGCTCCCTGCCGTAGAGTGCCTTGAACGGTGAGCAGTTGAGCGAGGCGTGATGGGAGGAGTTGTATCAGAACTCCACTGCGGTGAGCCACCGGCGCCATTGTTTGGGGTGTTGTGGACGGAGCACCGCAAGTACATCTCCAGGCACTGGTTAACGCGCTCCGTCTGGCCGTCCGTCTGGGGGTGGTACACCGTGGAGTACAGGAGTTTGGTGCCCGCGGCGTTGAGGATCTCCCGCCACATCGCGCTGGTGAACACCTTGTCGCGGTCCGAGACGATGGAGTGCGGCACGCTGTGGAGACGGATGACGTTGTCCCAGAAGGCTCTGGCGACTTGGGCGGCATTGAAGGGGTGGCGGAAGGGGACGAAGTGGGCGTACTTGGTGAGCCGGTCGACGACGACCATGATCGCGTCGTAGCCGTCTGACTTGGGCAGGCCTTCGACGAAGTCCATGATGAGATCTTGCCATGGTTCTTGCGGAATTGGAAGCGGCTGCAACTTGCCGGCCGGGTGTGTTTGTTCGTGCTTCGCGTGCTGGCAAATGCTGCACTGTCTGACGAAATCTTCCACAACGCGCTTCAGTCCCGTCCAGGCAAAGAGGTTGCGCACCCTGTGGTAGGTAGCAGTGTCACCGGAGTGACCGCCTACAGCGCTGTGGCGCAGCGCGGCGATAAGCTTCGTATGTAGCGCAGTGTTGGCGCCGGTCCACAGCCGTCCCCGCTGCCGAATCACGCCCTGCTGAAGAGAGCGACCCTGATCGTCAGTGTCACACAGCGCAAGCTTGGCGAGTAGCTCCTGCGCGTCAGCGTCCGTCTCGTACGAGTTGGCCACCTCCTGAAGCCACTGTGGCTGGCACACCGAGAGCGCGTCGAGCGCCAGCAAGTGCCCCACGCGCGAGAGCGCATCAGCCGCGCCATTGTCCGTGCCCTTCTTGTAGCAGAACGTGAACTGGAGCCCCACCATCTTTGACATCGCCTTGCGCTGCAGGTCCGTTGATGAGCTGTTGATCGCCCAAGGAACACAAACTCTTATGGTCGGTGACGATTTCGAACGGGGCGCGTTGGAGGTAGGGACGCCACTTGTCGATCGCCATCATCACGGCGAGGAACTCCTTTGAAAGATCGTGGATGTCGCCTAGAGGGGGGGGGGTGAATAGGAACTTTAAAATAATTACGGTTTAGGCTTGAACAAATGCGGAATAAACCTAGCGGTTAATTTGTCAAGCACAAAACCTACAACAACTAGGCTCACCTATGTGCACCAACAACTTATGCTAAGCAAGATAAGCAACTATGTGATAGCAAGATATATGACAAAGAACAATATGGCTATCACAAAGTAAAGTGCATAAGTACAGGGGCTCGGGTAAGAGATAACCGAGGCACGCGGAGACGATGATGTATCCCGAAGTTCTCATCCTTGCGGATGCTAATCTCCGTTTGGAGTGGTGTGGAGGCACAATGCTCCCCAAGAAGCCACTAGAGCCACCATAATCTCCTCACGCCCTCGCACAATGCAAGATGCCGTGATTCCACTAAGGGACCCTTGAGGGCGGTCACCGAACCCGTACAAATGGCGACCCTTGGGGGCGGTCACCAAACCCGTACACTTTGGCAACCCTTGGGGGCGGTCACCGGTACCCATCAAATTGCTCGGGGCGATCTCCACAACCTAATTGGAGACCCCGACGCTTGCCCGGAGCTTTACACCACAATGATTGAGCTCCGAACACCACCAACCGTCTAGGGCACCAAGGCACCCAAGAGGAACAAGCTCTAGGTTGCCCAAACACCCAAGAGTAATAAGCTTCTCAAACTTCACTTCCACGTATCACCGTGGAGAACTCAAACCGATGCACCAAATGCAATGGCAAGGGCACACGGAGTGCCCAAGTCCTTCTCTCCCAAATCCCACCGAAGCAACTAATGCTAGGGAGGAAAATGAGAGGAAGAACGAAAGAAGAACACGAAGAACTCCAAGACCTAGATCCAAGGGGTTCCCCTCACTTAGAGGAGAAAGTGATTGGTGGAAATGTGGATCTAGATCTCCTCTCTCTTTTCCCTCAAAAACTAGCAAGAATCCATGGAAGGATTGAGAGTTAGCAAGCTCGAAGAAGGTCAATAATGGGGGAAGAACACGAGCTCAAAGGATTAAGTCTCAATGGGGAAGAAGACCCCCTTTTATAGGTGGGGAGAAAAACCAACCGTTATCCCCTCACTCAGCCCGCACAACGCGGTACTACCGCAGGGAGCTGTGGTACTACCGCGGTTGGCTGCGGTACTACCGCTGCAGGTTGCGGTACTACCGCATGTACAGCTCTGGCCAGATGAAGGCCTGTTGCACAGGGCAACGAGTGGTAGAACCGCCGGAGCGGTACTACCGCGCGCCCCTACGGTACTACCGTAAGGCAGGCAACACTAGGCACAGAGAAAGCACGGACGTAAAAAATTACTTCTGTACCTACTTCCGCTGAGGGAGGACCTGCGCAAAACTCCGGCGCGGTACTACTACACACGAAGAGCGGTACTACCGCGTAGGGCGCGGATGTAAAAAATTACATCCGCCCCTACTTCTGCTCATGCTGCTAAGCCTGGCCAGAGCCCACGGTACTACCACGCTCGCGGCGCGGTACTACCGCGTAGGGCGTGGGTGTAAAAAATTACATCCGCCCCTACTACCGCTCGAGCAGCTGCGCCTGGCCGGAGGCCACGGTACTACCGCTCCAACAGAGCGGTACTACCGGAAGGGCCTGCGGTACTACCGCTCCGGAGAGCAGTACTACCGCATGGCCCAGAACAGCAACACTAGGAGTCCTTCATTTTGCACAGAAGACAACAGAGGGTAAATAAAACCAGAACTGCCATAACTTCTGCAAATAAGCTCCGAATTGAGCAAACTCAAGCTTGTTGGTTATAGTAAGAAGAGGCAGGGGAGGTATGCCTAACAAGAGAGGAGAGAAACCTTCAACAGAGAAGAACCGGCAGAACCTCCAACATCGAAAACATCATAGAAGATGCATGTGAACTCCGTTTTCGATGAACTCGAGCTTGTCATGAAAATGACCAAAAGCTCCAAACCTCACAAGGAGAAGAACCAAACAAGAACCAATAAAGATGATGCAAGGATGCAATGGTTTGAGCTCTCTACGAACGATATGATCAAGCAACTCATCGAGAGCCCCCCTTGATAGTACGGCAATCGATCCTATAAATCGGTCTCCCACAACTACCATGAGACCGGTAAAATAGAAAACCTATCAAGGGCAAACCTTTGCCTTGTACAAAATCCACTTGAGCTAGATGATGACGATCTACTCCTCCTCAAGATGGACCACCTTTCTTGATTGCGTTGGCTCGATGAAGACTAGTTGATTGCTCCCCCATACTCCACTATGGGTGAGCCACTCTTCCGCTCATCTTCACAAGTCCATTGTCACCACAATGGACGGCAAGCTTCAAGCACTTGATCTCTTCGTGATACATCACTTGAACTTGCACACCGTAACCTAACCCCACAAAGAACTCTCATAAAGACCATGGGTTAGCACACAAAGCATAATGGACAATGCTTACCATACCATGGGATCACTTGATCCCTCGGTACATCTTGTGCGCTTTGTGTGTTGAATCTTTCCAACTCTCTTCATTTGGATGATGTCTTGAAGGTGGACATGAATGATCACACAATCTTATTCTTCAAGACATGCTTGCAATAAGCTCAACACTCACATGACCAATCTTTGGATAATTCCTTAATAACACCTTGGTCAACTCATAAACTCCTTGAAACCAACACATGGACTTCAAGAAAAGCCTATGGACAAAACCTTCAGATATAACTCAAGGCAAGCATTAGTCCATAGAGATTGTCATCAATTACCAAAATCAAACATGGGGGCACCGCATGTTCTTTCATCCTTCTCGTACGCTGAGAGTTTCTGATTCCGCACGCCGAGCGCCTTGCTCAAGTACACGATCGGGTGGTTGTCTTGCGTCAGGACGGCACCGATGCCAGTGTCGCACGCGTCGGTCTCGATGGCGAACGGGCGCTTGAAATCTGGCAATGCCAGAACTGGTGTGCTCACCATCGCCTTCTTCAGCATCCCGAAAGCAGTTTGCGCTTGATCATCCCAGAGAAATCCTTTCTTGGTGAGGAGGCACGTCAGGGGCTTGGCGATGATGCCGTAGTGTGGCACGAATTTATGGTAGTAGCCCGTGAGGCCGAGGAACGCCCCGATTTGTCACGCCCTGATCTGTGAGATTTGAATGAGAGGAGGGGAACGGGAGGAGGAAGAGCGAGGCTGGTAGGTGAGAGCGAGAGGAACAAGGGGGAGAGGGGAAATCACGCAATATTTTTCTTCATACCCTCTACAGCCAATCCTTCGGGTACAAGTAAGCCACAGTTGGCAACACACGCACGCCACACTTGGCTTCACACGCACGCTACACTTGGTCCACCAGCTGGAGCGCTGACTTGGTCGTTGCAAGGCACTTGCACTGAATCAGTCCGCTGCAGGCTGATCTGCAGGCGTGACAGTGAGAACTATCGAGCGATGAGCAATGAGCGTTGGTTCCAACCCCACCTCAGATACCAGGAACTCGGACTTGCTCTGCAGCGTGTCCTTTGACCTCCTCAGCAGCATCGGAGCCTTAGACACAGCGATGCCCACCTCAGCAGCAGACCACCTGAGCGTGGTCTTCAAGTAGTCCACTTTGGTGGCAATCTTGTCCGTGCTTTGGAATGCGACAGCATACATCGCTTGTCTGAACATCCCAGAGGCACGGGGAACGCCTATACCTTCGGCGCATGCCACCATCGCCCGGAGGCGCCCCGGGTTGGTGGTCAGGATCCCCCGCCTATACATGACCAGCTTGACAATGTCACAAGCAGCTAGCCCGCACTCGTGCAGAAACGCGACATTGGGCTTGATCGTCGTATCAAGGTCCCGCGAGAGAAGATAGGAGGAGCGCTCGTAAGCCCGGAGGAAATTGTGGAAGGAGCCGAAGAGGGGATGGTAGTAGTGCAGCTTGGAGACGATGTGTCTGGAGCGGAAGCACTCGGGGCCGAGGGAGACGAGGCGGGCGATCTCAAGACGCGAGAGACCTATGCCGGCGAGCCCGACGGCCTTAGGGGCCAGGGTTTTGTCCACTTTGGCGCAGAGTAGCCGCGGGTCTTTGGCGACGACGGCGGCGGCGGCGGCGGCGCCGGAGAGGCCGAGGCCGGAGAGGAAGGCGAGGACGGCGTTCGGCTTGTCGGGGTTCTTGAGGTGGGCGAGCTTCGGGGAGGCCTTGATGGCTTGGGCCCGGGTGAGGCCGCAGGTGGCGACGAGGTACTCCTCGACAGCGAAGCCACTGGGATTCGGGGAAATGGGGGCCGACGCGGTGGCCGAGAGGAGATGGCGGAGTGGGGAGGTAGCAGAGTTGGAGGGTGAAGAGAGGAGATGGGAAACGACGCACTCTCGGAGCCGGAGCATGGCGCAGGAGCGGCGGCGACGGCGGACGGTGGCCGCAGAGATGTGTTCGATGGATTGAAATGGTACTGCGTGTCGTCGGGGTGAATGGGTTGTCGTCTTTTTGGTGGTGATTGGACCAGAGTTTGATGGATACACAATGGTTGTGATATCACTTCGGATATATTTTTAGTCAAAGTGAAAATCATGGTGGTCATATTGCCAAAAAAATATTGTTTATCCTTCGGTCT